ATTTAATAAGTTATTCATGATAAAAATAAGATGTCAATCATAATCATAATCAATTATTGAAGTTAGTTGATATTATGTTTTATTGAACAAATGTTTAATTTATTTAACTGTCATTTTAACTGATGAAAATAATAACCGTAATTTAGTAATGCAGTTTATATATTTAACAATTGTTTAATACCATAAACCGTGATATTTTCTGAGACGGTTCTCATACTGTGAAACTCTCATACGTTACAACCCCACATGGGGGAGTCCCCAACCCCACCCCCGCTGTTAAACAAGTTACTCAGCAACTTTTACTCATGTTTTAAATTAACTACTTTTTACTTCAGTAGATTTTTTAGACTGGTATTTTTACTTTTACTTAAGTAAAAATGTATCAAAGTAATAGTAGACTACTTTAGGTTGAATAACATTCTTCCAGTTTCACCTGATATTATAACAGTTTCTCTAAAATAGTTATGAATTATTAACAACAAATGACATCGTCAACGGTGTAGTTAGATTAATGTAATAATTACTATCTCTAGAAAGTATTGGTCTACATATTACTAAATCCTATATCAACCTCAACCACTTGATTAATACAAGGAGGAGAGACAAGAAACTGCACTTTTAATGCTTTCAAATTAACAATACAATTGCATGAATTATTCTTGAATTGATCAAAGTGTGTAGAGGGAGAAGGTTATATAAAATATACCTTTTAAAAATGTATGCTAAATCCACTATTGTTTTATACTGAATTGGTCTATAGTTTATGCAGTAGCCTATTTAATGTAATTGCATCATATTTTATTTTAAATTAAAGAAGAATTAAGAGTAATCCCTTTAATTAAATTACAATATTTAGATTACTTGGTAATTAATTATACCCAACACCTCTTTTTGTCTGGCGCTGTTGCCATGGTGACTCATAATATCTGCGCTCCATTGATAATGGCTTTTTATAGCTGTGGTGCACGCGCTTAACTCAGAGTCAGTCAACTCAGAGTTGATTGAACTAACTCATTTCAGCTGTTCTGTAACCGAAAACTCAGAGTTTCCCATCTCAGGGTAAGTCAACTCTGAGTTCAAGCTTTAACTCAGAGTTGGTTGAACCTCCTTATTGAAACGGGCCCCTGGGGTGTATTCCAGAAAGCAAGGTTAACTTACCGTCAGATAAACCTTGAACTCTTGGTTGATTAACCCCAAACTAGCTTACTCCGGGTATGTCGGTTCCAAAACACCTGTGAGGAGTTAGTTTAATCAACCTCCTATTGGTAACCCAGGGTTAATGCGCGCGCACGGCAAGAACATAAAGGCATTTTCAATGGATCGCAGAAATCAGGAGTCACCATGGAAACCAAGGGACAAAAAAACGAGCTACATACTTCGGTGAAACTAAGTTGGAGGTTTTAATGCTTGCTTGAAGCCTACAAGCCCGTTATAACTAAAAAAAACAACAACAATACTGCTGCATCAGCAAAAGAAAGAGAGTTGGCTTGGCAAAAAAATAACAGATAGAGTAAATGCGTGAGTTTTATAAATTATTAAAAGAAATTATAAATGGGCTATTTTCCCCTGTAATTAGGCAAAAATTATTATTAAATGATAAAAATAGACAAGTAGCCTATTTACTTGTTGGCCTCCATACATTTCTTAATATTACAATAGTAATGCACATAATTGGATATGTTAGGTTTTTATAAGGTTCTGGAGCCATAAGAAGTGTGAACCAAGTCAAAATGAAACACAAAAACATTCTCCTGCAAGATAATATTTTCTAAACTTACTAAACTGAGGCCATGTACTTTAGCTATCTAATGTAATTTAGTTTTCTATGTAGCCAATAGAAAGAAGGCTGAGGCCCGTAAAACAGGTGGGGTCCACCTCCGCTTCCCCTCACCCCAGCTGAGGAGCTGGCACTGTCCCTGAATAAAGGGCGACAGGGTACCAGGGGGCAGTTCGTCAGACTCAGATACCAAGACGAGTGGCTTAGTAAAATGTAGGTGAGCCATGTTAATGCTTATGATTTATTGATGTGTTTACTGTTTTTGTCAGTATTCTAATAAAGAAAATCATCAACACTGTCACCATTTTAAAAATGCATTTTGAATGCATTTTACAGTCATTGATTCACTTGTGCAGTGTGCATGCTGCTTTGACTGCATGTAATCTTACTCTTAGATGTTCCTAATGTACTTTTTTAAGAATATACACTGTGTATTGAATATGCATGATTATCTTATTGGTTTAATTATCTTGCAGTTGCTGATGGCCACGTTGTATTATTGGATCCTCCTGCAACACCACACTGTCACAGTTGTAAGTGATTATTGTCTTTAGGTTTCTGTTTGCTAGCTAGACCCAACATCCTTCCTTATTTTCACTGTAGGATGATGATGAAGAGACCACTTCTGCTGTGACAGAAACACAAAATGTGGAGAGGTCCATAGAGGAGAATAAATAAATGGCAGGAGATTTTAATACAGCTGAGGGTCCATCTACCTCCACAGAGAATCTTAACGGTCTAAGAAATGTTCTGCAGTTCTCCTTCCTCATTTAAATATTTGGTCTGTGTTTGTATTACAGACGTTTTCAGTCATGTTTAATTATTCTGTCTTTAGTTGCCTCCCAAAGAGCTGTTTAAGGCCCACCTTCAAAAGCAAATCAGAAAAAGTGACATGGAGATGGACCTTATACAGCTTCAAATGGAGGAGAAAAGGCTTAACCTAAAAAAGGCCAGACTTGAAATTGAATTGCTGGAGCACCAGCTTAAGGTGGGAAACAGTATGTGAACAGTATTTGTTGTTGAATGAAATCTAAAGCAATAAATACAAATGTCTTTTGTTACAGGAAATAAAGAAACAATGAACAACACTTGACTGTTAACTGGTTTTAATTAAAGTGGGTAGGGTACCCTCTGTCTCCCAGCAAGTAACCATTGAAGTGACCTATAAAGGTAGTTAAAGTGTATAACTGCATTAAAACATAAAAAAACAAATATATATATTTATATATTATCCGTATTATCTGTTCCACATCCACTGGATTGTCTTCAAAAGGGCACGCCATACTCCGTCACCTCTCTGAAACAAACTAACCCTGCAACATAACCTGCTCCTGAGCAGGTTATCCTCAGAGAGTCAGTTGCTATGGTTACTTACATAACCCGAAAGTTACCTCCGTTTTTGGAACTGAAAGCAGAGGTTATCCGCTTACTTACTCCTAAACTTACCCGGGTAAGTCACATAACCTGCTTTCTGGAATACCCCCCTGAAGAAGACATAGGATTTACCAACCGTGACAGCGTTATATTTAATGAATAAAAAATGTTGTGCTGTTCATCTGTGAAAATGATCATGATTTACAAAATGTGTAAGTATCATAAACTTTTGTTTATCACAGAGCTTGTTTTTTTTATCCAAAAACCTAGAGAAGGGTCTTACTTGGACACATATGAGAAAATCCCGTTGTTTTTGTTAACTAAGACCAGTGACGCGGGCTGCCGTTTGGCTACTAACTGACTTCCTTATCAGAAACCTATGATCAGAAACGACACGCGTGCACTTTACATTTACCTGAAAGATACCTTTGATGTCGTGACTATCTATTTTATCTATTGAGAGAAGAAAAGGAAAATAGAATCAGCGATCATTGAAGAACAAATGAAGAGTTCAGATGCAAAAGCCTCTAAATGCCATTTGAAATTTTCTTCTTTAATGATCATTTTTATCAAGCTTGTATATTTAAGTTTGATTTCACTTAAATGGCAATGATAATTACCTATTAATTGTTATTTAAGTGAAATTACTGAACTTAAATGTACAAGTTTGATAAAAATCATCAAAGAAGAAAATTTCAAATGGCATTTAGAGGCTTTTGCATCTGAACTCTTCAAATATGGTAACACTTTATTTTACGACCCGCAAACAACTGCGTAAGTCCACTGAAATTACGGTGTACATTTCTGTAATTATAGTGTACTTCCGCGTAGGTATAAGGGAACAAGGGAATGTTAAGTTTTGGGTAATAAAGGGGTAACAAGCACCACTTTAATTTAGCCTACAGCCCGCAGGAGTTACACTTACCCTGTAACTACGCAGAACAAGGGGGTAACAAACGCTACTTACTGTAGCAATACGAAACAACACTATTTGCACTGTAATTGCAGAGAAAGGTACTGTTATATATATATATATATATATATATATATATATATATATATATATAAGAAAATCGTTTTAATTACACAGTTTGCCTTGACATTTAATTGTTATTGCAATTCAATGGTATATATATATATATATATATATATATATATATATATATATATATGAAGAGTTCAGATGCAAAAACCTCTGTGCCATTTGAAATTTTCTTCTAAAATGATCATTTTTATCAAGCTTGTATATTTAAGTTCAGTAATTTCACTTAAATGGCAATGAAGATTACCTATTAATTGTCATTTAAGTGAAATTACTGAACTTAAATATACAAGCTTGATAAAAATGACCATTTCAAATGGCATTTAGAGGCTTTTGCATCTGAAATCTTCATATATATATATATATAACCCACAGATGTCAAAATTACCCTGTATTGCACAAGAACATATTTTGCCAGAAATTTTATAAACAACAGACGTACAATTTTTGCCTGGAATATATTAAAAGAATAGGTACCTGTTATTTTTTTAACTAATTAAATAATTTGCTTGTATGTCTGCTTGTTACCCCTTTATTACCCCAAACTTAACATTTTTCCCTTGTACTTACACGGAAGTACACTATAATTACAGAAACGTACACTGTAATTTCAGTGTACTACAGTTGTTTGCGGGTCGTAAAATAAAGTGTTACCATGTATATTTTTAATAGTTTGTTTCTGAACAGACAGCAGATCTTTGTGATTCTCGTGGTTGTTCTTTTTTGAAACCGATATCGTTCAGAAAGTGAAAGTAAAGTGTAACGTTAGAGTTCGAACGGTGAAAATGGCTTCACTAACGTTACATGTATCTCCCGAAGAACTGTCTTGTCCTGTGTGCTGTGACATCTTCAAGTCTCCTGTTCTTCTGTCGTGTGATCACAGTTTCTGTAAAGAGTGTCTTCAACAGTTCTGGAGAAGCAAGGAAACTCGTGAGTGTCCAATCTGCAGGAGAAGATCCTCAAACAATTTTCCTCCTCCTAATATGGCGTTAAATAACTTGTGTGAGTCGTTCCTAAAGGAGAGAGAATTGAATCGTGCATCAGGATCTGAGGAGATCTGCATTTTACACAGTGAGAAACTCAAACTCTTCTGTCTGGAGGACAAACAGCCGGTGTGTGTAGTGTGCAGAGATTCACAGAAACACGCCAATCATAATTTCAGACCCATCAGTGAAATTGGTCCATCGTATAAGGTAAGAAAGATATATTTCTCAGGATTAAAGCTTGTGTTACGTGAGCTTTTATGATTTTAGAGAAATCTCTGGTGTCTTATAGATTTTCTCTTTAAATTTTAGGAGGAACTGAAGTCCTTGAAAGAGAAACCTAAACACAAAGAAAACATTAAAGGAGAGAAAACAGTTCAACATACCAATAAGGTGAGGATTGATTCTTTTGACATCATTTAATTAGAAAAGTTTATATTAGTGATTTGTCTGAGATTATATGTTCCATTATTGGAGAACACACATTCGACTCTGACTCCTTGATTCCATTTACTTTACATCAAAACATTGTCAGGAATAATACACGATTGCAGTTGTTATTTGACACTTAATTATTTCCCCCCAATGCAAAGTCTTAAAATCCACTGTGCTTTTAGCATGACTGTCCTAATTAGCCATAGACAGTGAAAGAAATGGACACAGCGACCCCCTTGATTTCAACGGAGATAATTGGCTTTATGCCCAGCTGCACTACTTCCTGAACTTAGGCCAGCTCCTTGTTTCTTCTGCGATTATTGGAGAAATTGATTAATTCAGGTGTGCTTGACCTCAGTAGTCACGGCAATAATAATCAGACACACCTGAATTAATCAAATTTGGCCAATAATGGCAGAAAGGAAACAAGGAGCTGGCCTAAGTTCAGGAAGTAGTAGAATGTGTGACAGTGCAGTGGTGAGTAGTCTAACCGGTGTTGTGGTCCCCAGGTTCAGGAAGCCGATGTTACGGTTTAACTGGTTACTGTATTGTGTCCTTACGCCAGATATGAACGATTGGCTGCAGATTCGTCAATTCACACAAAGCCTGTGCAATACATCCATTACAATTAAACATGTGCACTACATGATGTTGGTATTATTGTAATGATTCAAAAAACAAGGCAAGCAAGACTCCAAGCAAACTTTTGGGTCGTACTGCTCAGAAACAGCTTTATGAATACAGATAATTCATAATACAGATAACTGTGTCAACAGATAAGTTACACATTAAAGGGAAAAAAACACCCCTTCATATGACCCCTTTAATATGTATATTTATTTTGGAGTAAACAAAGTAAAAAACTAAATGTAATATGCTTTGTAAAATGAGTTATGTGAAAGAACATTTATTGTTAACAGGAATGTTGGTGCACATTTTCATAAATATATCATTTAAAAACATAGCATTGTATCATTTACACATGACCATAATTATTGTTGTATTTTACATGTTTCACATTACAGGACATAAATTATATCATCAACAAAAGCATCTTAATTGAAGGTGGAAATCCTGCTCGATATCATCTGCAAACAAAGACAGACTATATGGATCAATCTGAACAATACAGAAAAATCACCTTTGGAGAGAGAGACAAAACCAAACCCCATAAAACCATTCTGATGGTGGGAGAAACAGGAACTGGAAAAACAACCCTGATCAACACGATGATCAACTACATGTTAGATGTTCAGAGAGAAGACAAGGTTTGGTTTGAGATCACAGATGAACAGAGCGACCGAACATCAGCAGCTACATCACACAGTCAGACCTCCATCATCACTGTTTATGAGTTTTATCCACGAGAGAGTAAAACTGATCTAACAATCATCGACACACCAGGATATGGAGACACTCGTGGAGTTGAGAAAGATAAACAGATCGCTGAGAGTTTGCTTCGTTTATTTACATCTGAAGAAAGTGTTCATGAAGTAGACGTAGTGTGTCTGGTGATTATGGTACAACAAAATCGACTCTCTGACAGACAGATATACATATTTGATTCTGTTCAGTCTTTATTTGGAAGAGATACTGTTGAAAACATCGTATTGCTCTTCACACACTCATCTGGAGCTCGACCTAAAAATGTCCTGACGGCTGTTAAGAATGCTAAAGTCAAGTGTGCCGTGAATGACAAGAATCAGCCGGTGTATTTCCTGTTTGACAACTGCCAGTTAGAAGCAGCTGATGAAGATGAAGAAGAAGAAGATGATGAAGAAGATCATGAACAGAGGCGGAATAAATCATGGGATCGCAGTTCAAGAGGAATGGCAGGATTGTTCAAGTTTCTTGAGAGTGTAAAACCAAAATCCCTGCAGATGACTCGAGATGTGTTAAAGAAACAGAAGCAGTTGGAGGCAAATATCTCTAATCTAAAAGAACGTGTTCAACTGACAGAACTAAAGCAGAATGAGCTGAAACAAACTCAAGAAGCTCTGGAGAAGAACAAGAGAAATGTAGAGGAAAATAATGACTTTGAGTATGAAGTCGACGTGGCCTATAAAGAGAAGGTTGATATTGATCCTTCAGTAGAAAAAGAGGCGACGTGCTGCAGCGTCTGTGAGGAGAACTGTCATTATCCAGGATGCTGGTGGGTCAAAGATCTCTCATGGTGCAGTGTGATGAAAAATAATCACTGTACAGTGTGCACAAATAAATGCCTTTACACCAAACATGTCAAAGAAGCAAAACTATATGTAACAAAGACAAAAAAGGAGAAGAGGACATATGAAAAATTAAAGAAGAAATATGATGGGAAGATTGGGGATGGTGAGTCTCTGGCCAAGAAGCTGGAAGAGGAACTGAAAGAATTAGAGAAAGAGAAAGTAAAGCTGGTGATGGATGCGTTTCACTGTGTGGATACTCTGGAGATGATCGCACTCAACACTGATTCACTGAACACACTCCGACATGTTGATGTTCTGATTGAAAAGCTGAAGGAAATAAATCAGCCTGGAAAAGCTGAAATACTGGAAAACATCAAGAAGAGAGCAGGAGAAGACAAACAAGAAGCTCTGGGATACAATGCTAGATTTTAATGTATTTTAATAATCACAAATAATACCTTATCTCAAATGATGCTGACACTGAAAATCTGAAATCCTAAAAAGTTTCTGCTGTATTCAAAAGCAAGTCCTTCATGTGATGTTAAGCTATATTATCATTGATCATAATTGGGATGTTTTATGAATCTAACATTTTTTTATCATCACACTTGCTTGAATTTTCCACTTGTAAATTGCTGCATAAACTGCATCTACAAAATGAACTAATGTGAAAGTGATTACTGTGGATTCTGTATATGAATTTATAGAGTAAATTACTATTGAAAATACAGCCGTAATACTGTAAAAGCAAAGAAATAGCCAGATAATTGTTATTCATCATAAAATGATGTGAATGTAATAATCATTGTCATTGTCTAATAGGCTGTTAGAGACTGTTTTAACTGTATTATAAAGCACTGTCATCTATAGAGCCTGTTTGAGAAACTGTTGAATATCATCCAACAGGTGAAAAACATGATATACATTTCTAAACTCTGCTTTATAATTCTGGACTGTACTGTTATTTCACTATGACTCGCTGTGTTTATTGATGTATGCTTAATGTGTTTATTGAGAATATACAGAAATATTATTTTCTTTAGGTGAACTGTCCCTTTAAGAGTAAAGTATGTTAGTACTCAGAAAATCCAAAATATAATCCTGAAACGGTGTCCATATCTATCATCACAATTGCTTCTATTTTTATCATTAATAAGTTGTTTTGGATAAATGCATCTGCTAAATTAACAAACACAAAATACTATTGATTACTGCAAATATTTTCTAGCTATATATTATTTTTAATGCTTATTATTGTACTATTAAGCACTGACAGACACTTAGAGGCTGTATGAGAAAATAACTCTGATAGCATGACTGTTTCAAAATGACAAATGTATGAATAAAAAAAGAAAACACTCATGTGAACAGAAACACGTTGCCTGTGTGTTATAATGATGACAGAAGAGAGATGAATGACTTTCATTCTGCTTAATTCTCAATAAAACACAAACTATATATTTTGCAAGATATTGAAAATGTTTATCTTAACTGTGAGTTGGACAGCAGGACTCCTACCTGAGAATCTCTGCACCACATGTGCAACGCTGGACCAACTGAGCAATTTTGCTGCATCGGAAGAAACCAGAGTTGTTTATGTACATGATGGAAATATTAAAATGCATTTACTTGCAGGCCCTACACTATGAAAGTGCTTTGAAGTCACAAAATAATATTAAATGCAAGGAACAGAGTGAAAGTTTTTGAAGTTTTGCAAAAATGTAGATATAATAAAAATGTTCCAGTGAGCCTTGGTTATAACAAGCAATAGTCCTCATTTAGACATTCTGTTGATTGTAGTGTTGCACCTGTCAACTAACTCGCATTAGAGCAGACCCTACCCCAGACCTAAACCTACCCATAACAGTGCGTGTTATATTGACGCTAAAGGGTGCCATGATATGCGTAGTATTTCGACGAAATGTCATACGGCGTCACCTATATGACGCCAAAGGATAAGAATGTGTTGGTATCATCCTAAAAAACTAAAGATCAGAGTGGTGTTTGATTGTGGAGCATCATATCAAGGAACTTCATCTTTAATATGTCTAGATTTAACATGGCCGCTGGTGAGTGTTCTTGTGCGATTCAGAATGGAGTATGTTGCCATGATGGCTGACATAGAATTGATGTTTCATCATGTTAAGGTACATCCTTATGATTGTGATCTCTTGAGGTTTCTTTGGTGGCCTGGAGGAAACATGATGCCAATCTGGAGGAATACAGAATGGTTGAGCATTTGTTTGGAGCGATGTCATCTCCAAGTTGTTCTAGCGCATTGAGAGAGTGTGCAGAGGGCCATTAAGATCTGTATGATGCCAAGACCGTGGACATTGTCTATAATAACTTCTATGGAGATTTCTGTCTTGTATCTGTGCTTACAGATTCAGAAGCTGTTCTATTGTACCAGAAGCTCACAGAAATGTATAAGTAACAGCTGCACTGTGTTAAATTCCATCGTTGAGGAAGAAAGAGACAAAGTTAAGAACTTGGATTTGGATTATTTAGCTATTTGGAAAGAGCATTAGGTGTGCAGTGGTCTGCTGAATCTGATGTCTTCAAGGAGACCATCAAGGATAGACCTCTTACTCAAAGAGGGATTCTTTCTATCATTAGTTTCATCTATGACCCTCTTGACTTTCTGTCTCCTGTGATTCTACGTGTCAAAATTATACTTCAAGATCTGTGTTGAGGAACATTTGGATGGGACGGGCAAGCAAGGCAAGGCAAGTTTATTTAAATAGACATTTCATACACTATGGCAATTTACAGTAGATCTGCTTCATATACAATTATTACACATACTCTGATTCAGAAATATTCTGATTGTGTTTTCTTCATTGGGAAATAAGCAATATTTTTATTAAAATAAGTTTATTAATCTCTCTCCAAGCCTCATTCAAACATATTTAAACTTTAATTTTGTGAATACATTTTTATGTTAGTTTCTCTGCTTATTCTCACATATCAGACATATATTCATGTGATTTTATTATTTGACCCCTTGGTGGCGCTGTTAAACAGCAAATCTGTGAGAAAGAAAACTATAATATTCTCATATATCTTGGATAAATACATTTTTAAGAGTTGTCTGATTTATTTAAGTTACGCTACCAGGATGATACCATGCACTATATGGACCCAAAACTCCATGAACATTAAAATAATGCCTCTGTAACCGTTTTGACCAAACTAGAAAAAAAAAATGTTTATAGAAATGCTTAAAATCATTGTTTGAATCTTATAATAAGAATCACAAACAAAAGCATATTTATTTGTTGAGCATGATATGCTGTGAAGTAACACATTCATTTACCAAAGAGATGGGAACTTGTCAGGCAGAGATTTATTAAACAAGGACAAAATATATTTCAATACACTGTACAGGAAAAATTTTAGAACTATATGATTAAAGTTCCGCATTTGACGCAAGGATGCTCGTCTGTTTCCGGTTGTGGAGATTAAAGCGGAGGAAAACCGGGGAAAACCGTTTTATGGCAGAGTCTTCAAAATTTACTGTCTTTGAAATGAAACTTTCATACGTTTAGATGTAATTTTATATATAGTTATGTTTATTTAATATAATTTTTAAAAGAAGCATAAACACAACGAGGGGTGTCTGTTTAGTCTGTTTTTGTGACTAACGTTTCTTTATTATAGCCATAGAGTATAAAATTCAATATAAATTCTCGGTATTGTATTTGACTCTACGATCGGCGGAAGTAATCGAGCATCCTTACACCTTCACCGGAAATACCGCTGTGCATAGAGCCCATATGGCACAGGTGTGTATTTTTTATGAAATTTTACTATTTCACCACCATTTTCTTAAAAAAATAATAATATCAGTGTCTCCCTATCAGTGCATTTTGGACAAAAATGTCCCCATTGAAATCGCAATTTTTAATCCCAGGGCCATTTAACTATAAAATGATGCAATCTTTGTTAAGATATTTTCTTTGTTTTTTTCTGTTGGCTCCAAAATTTTTATTTTTACTTTTTTTTTTTTTTTTTTTACCAGATGGTGCTAGTTGTCCAGGTTTGGCCTATAAAACAAATATTGCTTTCTGCTTATTAACAATAATTGTGTGGGTGTGGATGTCATATAGTGTGGTTTGTATGTGTGTAATACATTTTTTTGTGTAAATTGTTTTTTGAATGCAAAGAAAATAACACCTCGTGGGATTTTTTTTTTTTGGAATTCTCTTTTTTATGAGATTAATTGGCATAGAGCGTGGCTTCTCGTTTCTGCTTATTTCGTTTCAAACTGGAAAACAAACTATCAAAACGTACAGATGTAGCCCCACCCACAGGGGAAAATTGGAATATCAAGGTGTTTTTCTGATTTCTGCGCAAGAACGGGAAAACCAAACATCAAGTCATAATTTCGTTTTTTTTGTTTTTCAGAAAAAACGAAAAAGGAGTTGTTTTCTCACAAATGAACGAACGATACCCGGACCGTGGTGAGTAAATTATCAGCAAGTATTTTAAAAAAGTGAACTACTCCTTTAACTAAACCACACCAGTGTGACGCGATCTGACTTCCTTATTCATTTTATATGTAGCCTACCAGGAAGAGACCTTTTTGCTGTCGTGACTCGTGACTATCTATTTTATCTATTGAGAGAAGAAAAGGAAAATGGAATCAGCGATCTTTGAAGAACAAATATATGTATTTTTAATAGTTTGGTTCTGAACAGACAGCAGATCTTTGTGATTCTCATTGTTGTTCGTTTTTGAAACGATCGTTCAGAAAGTGAAAGTAAAGTCAAGAGTTCGAACGGTGAAAATGGCTTCACGGAATGTATCTCCAGAAGAACTGTCTTGTCCTGTGTGCTGTGACATCTTCAAGTCTCCTGTTCTTCTGTCGTGTGGTCACAGTTCCTGTGAAGATTGTCTTCAACAATTCTGGAGAAGCAAGGAAACTCGTGAGTGTCCAATCTGCAGAAGAAGATCCTCAAGAGAGATTATTCCTCCTAATATGGCGTTAAATAACTTGTGTGAGTCGTTCCTGAAGGAGAGAGATGAGAGGCTTTCATCAGGATCTGAGGATATCTGCAGTTTACACAGTGAGAAACTCAAACTCTTCTGTCTGGAGGACAAACTGCCAGTGTGTGTAGTGTGCAGAGATTCAGAGAAACATGCTAATCATACTTTCAGACCCATCAGTGAAATTGGTCCAGCATATAAGGTAAGACAGATATATTTAAGCTTGTATTAATAAGCTATAGACTAAATATAATAATATAATAATTTAACTTAAGCTTGTATTACTGCGTACAGTGGCGGCTGGTGATTCCGGAAATGTGATTTCCTGCATTCGGGTGCATTTTAGGCCTTAGGCCATGCCCTAACCTATACCAATAAAATAACTTAAACCAGTCAATATACCAATGGTCAAATAATACAATAATAATAATAACAGTTTGACAGTTAATGATAATGAACAAGTTGCATGTTTATTATGCTCTGTGTGCTGACAGAAAAAGTGCAAACGCATAATATTGATAAATTATAATATAGGACAGGTAATACAAAAAATAATAGGTAATACAACAATCTAGTTTAATCAATCCCCAGCTGTAGACTACATATTTTTGACAAATTGACAATTGGATAATGGAAAACAATGTGTTGATACTAGAGAAAGAGAGAGAGAAAATGCTCTGAAAGAAAGGGTGGGACAACATTCTTGAGGGTAACACCCAAGTATGAGAAGAAAGTTGATTTTAACTAGTATGAAACACAGTAATCCAGCTCAGAACTTAAAAACATCAAAAACAAAGCAAACACACAGGTATTAATATTCCTATAACTATTTTAATATCAAATGTGTGTGAATGTGTGTGTGAGTGAGTGAGTGACAGAGACAGACAGGTCAATTCCCACGACTAACTTTACATTATTTCCACTCGACGTCACTGGCGCTGCCATTCTGCTCTCATCTGAGGCAGAGCCATGTATTGAGAGAGTTGCGACACGCTTTGATGTCGCCGCAAGGCTGTCACGTGATTCATGGAAGCCCCAATAGTTCCAAAACAGACGCGGGCTGTCATGTTCTTCAATGGACAGACAGCAGCGATTGCATTATTAAACGGTAAATATAAAATAAAACGCACACCAAAGTACTTTTTAAGCTTTTATTGCGTTTGATTAATGTCAGTGTTGCATTTGGAGAGGCAGGGTGACAACTTAGATGTTTTTTAGGCTATAATTTTGGAGGGAAAAGCTTGTGTTTATGTTCGCATTGGTAGTTGCACTGGCTTTAGCGGCTCTAACTTAACTTTTCCATGTCATTCATCTGATGATGGACGTCTCATGATATTTATTTTTGCACAACTGGGATGTAGGTTATTGATTCCCGTGATCTTGCTTATAAATTCCGATTCAGCCATTAGCCTACCGTGATCACGCAAAGACCCGTGGACCGGTTGCCCGATCAGGATAACAATCACGACAACCAACGTAAAATATAAATAATTACGCTGTGCATGTACAAATGAATGATTTAGGAGGGATATAGACTGCTCCCATGATTTTTATCAAACTTGTATATTTAAGTTCAGTAATTTCACTTAAATAACAACTAATAGGTAATTATCATTGCCATTTAAGTGAAATCACTGAACTTAAATATACAAGCTTGATAAAAATGACCATTCTAAAAGAAAATTTCAAATGGCACTTAGAGGCTTTTGCATCTGAACTCTTCATATATATATATATATTGTATATCTATCTAATATTATATATATATATATATATATATAATATTATATATTTATATTTATATGATGTTAGAAAAAAATATTATATACATCAGGTAACCATAAGTTAGCTAACAACGTTAGTGAAGTGTTGAGTCACGTAAGCTATCGCTGCAATTAACCTATTATCTTCCAATAAACATTTACTAGATCTGGCTACATAACATATAACTACAGACTAGATTCACGAGAGGTCGGCTAATGTGTGTAAAAGTAAAAAATACAGTAATTTCATTAATTTACCAGCGAGAGGACATCGGAAGCACTGAAAATGAATGGGGTTCAATGCTGGAACTATCAGTGGTTGGAACTAATGGGCGGGTCCATGACACGCGTTACTTCCGCATTCCTGAGTTACAATGGCGGTCTACGGGACTGTCATAACTCTCTCAATACATGGCTCTGATCTGAGGTAAAAAAAAATGTCCCGTGGTGCGCGTGCACTCCCCTAATCTGATACTGTGGGCGATATTTTCAGCGCCCCCAAACCATAAAATTTGACGCCGCTGATTGGCGAAATATAAACTTTTTTGCATAGCAACCGGGGAACCATTGGCTTAAATTCCAGCACTGTGGGGCTGAGCGAACTGGCGCCCTGAGAAGACAGCCTATTGGCTATACTACTACACCAACATGATAAAAGTAACGAAAGTGAATGCAAATATCATTCTGGTGAGTTCAAAACACTTTTCAAAGTAAAACCATTATTAGCATATAAAATTAACACAGATTATTTTTCAAAATGAATGAATTATAATATATATTAAAAAAACAGACAGACAGGTCGAAGGGAGGGCGGCGCCCCAGCGCCCTCTATCGGCGAGCCGCCCCTGACTACGTACATGAGCATTTTACTAAATTTTCACTTTAAATTTTAGGAGGAACTTAAGTCCTTAAAAGAGAAACCTAAACACAAAGAAAACATAGGAGAGAAAACTGTTCAGCACACCAAGCTGAGGATTGATTCTTTTGACCTAGGTCAGAGACTATTTATATAGAGACACGCCACTTCCTCAATCCTTAAAGGTGCATTGCGCAACATTTCATGTTAAAAATAGCCGTTTTCTAACCCATACATGTTTAAACATTCGCCTGATGGGCTGAATGAGCCCTTCTCTGATCACTGAGATCGCCTCTATAATCCTGTACAGTAAAATAAATAAGAGGGATTCAGGCTCGAATCTGAGACTGGCCGTGATGTCATGCGCGTTCACACTCGCCTGGCTATGTGCCTATGTCTTGCAGGTTAAGTGTATTCACCGCCATTCTCCGTATCAGAGAAGACAACTCGAGCGACACAACTTTAGTCAACTTTCCACAAAAGTAGAAGATGGATTCAAAGGAGCTGTTTAGCTTACACCTGGTCACTTCATGCGTTTTCTGTGATCGGATCGTGAAAAGATCAGGTTGCCCTTCGAGACGGATTTGAATCCGATCGCTCATGAGGACGTGGTCTGGGCCGCATTCCAGACAAAACTGGACAAGTGTAAATGCATCTGGTTGTTGAAAGCAGGCTATAGGTTATGTCATGTTATTTTAGTAATATATGACGACGCGCATCACCTCATATGAGCAGCTGAGCGTCTATTCATCAAGCCAGCGCGCCGCAATCGATCGCGAATCAAAGTGAAAGTTAGTCGCAGACGCTTAACACTACCATCTTCATTAAAAGTAAAGAAGTGAAATGATCTTACCAGTTCTGTTGCCGATCTCTCTTATTGCTGTCTTTGCTGATTTTGAAATTAGCCAATGATCAATAAAATGCAGCTCATATCTGTTGCTTTCGGTGACGCGCACTTCATGAATTCTGTATATAGCGCGGGAATTGAAGATCAGATTATATCCGTTTTGCAAAAACACATTTATGTGAGCAGGTGTAATGGAATCGTTTTGATAAATCAGATAGCTATCCGATCTGAGAAAATGCATTGTGGCCAGGTGTAAACAGCAGTGGTGGAATGTAACGAAGTACAAATACTTTGTTACTTTACTTAAGTACATTTTTCAAGTATCTTTACTTTACTTAAGTAGAATAAATAGTGTATACTTTTTACTTTTACCTCGTTACGTTTTGCAGCAATTATTCTACTTTCTACTCCACTACATTTCTACAACTTCTGTTACATTTTCATTACATTTTCTGATCAGTTTTTCCACTGCCAAAAGGTAATCTGACCGTCCGTTCGTTGCACGTTTGTCTCACCAGTGACGTTTGGTTGCCATTGATATATCAACCCGGTCACACTAAATGCGTCTTGCACACAGTGCTTTTATCGTGCAATTTATACGCGAAAATTTGTTTTTACGTGCATAGGAAACGCACCATGTGTAATATACGTTTGGTTAGGATTATGGCAAGCCAAGAGGTTCAGAATTACACCATAAATTAATCGAGTTTACTGCCAAACATAGTTATTGACATATAGTAAGGATAAGCATGATGTTCATATTGCCTAATTGCAAGCTTGTTTCAGAAATGGTGACAACATTTTTTTTCCATCATTTTTGAACATCATTATAGGAGTATTAGATTGAATGAGTTAGAATTAAATGTTTTATTAATCATTAGAAAATAGACATTAAGAGACTAAATTGTTATGCAAGTACTTTTACTTTTAATACTTAAAGTACATTTAAAATCAGGTACTTTTTACTTTTTACTCAAGTATGGTTGTCATTGTGTTACTTCTACTTTTACTAAAGTAAATATTTATCTGGTTATTTGTACTTTTACTTAAGTACTGAGATTCAATACTTTCTCCACCACTGGTAAACAGCCCCAAAGAGACCGGCTTGTAGTTCATTCCAAACCCCAACGCAACCCCCACGTGAGACAAAGAAAATACAACTTCTGTCTGTCCAGTGCCAGGCGTCGGAATAAGACGAGAGTCAACATCGGGAAGGCTTTCAACAAACAGAGAGATCTCCGGTCTGCCCTCGGGCTCAAAGGGGTCCTATACAAAGTAATAACTTATATTGTTCATGAACGTGTTTCCATACAATCATACGTGGATACAGTAAGCACATAAAACAGTTCAAAATGGAGATAGATGGAAACAAAAAACAAAGTTTTCTACTACCCCTGTTTTCCCCTCACACACACACATAAGTGTGTAATTTACTCGAATGCCTTTCCTTTCATATATTTTAAATGACCTGAAGATTTATAACTGTATTACCTCATTATCACTGTAACAAAAGATGTGTGCCGCACAGTGTGCGGCTGATGCTCCTTTGGTTATGAACAGCTCGTGCAAACGTGCGTGTGTTTGTGAGCGCGCACGCAGTTTCGCTTGTCGCCAGAGGGGGCGTAGTTCTGCAAAAACTCAGATACTTGCGTTTTGCTCCTTTAATACAAATGTGTTGGGAAAACCATAGTAAAAGAAAGGGGAAAACCCGTAACACCAAAGATGGCGGTTGTATGCACATGTCCCGCCCCTCCCGCTGGACAGCCAATTTTCTGCTTTTAACAGTCAAGCTGGAAAACATTTAAGCCTATCGTCTGGTTCCACCAATGCATGCGCACAGTTGAGGTTTGCGACGGCGGCAGATTTGTTATGCAGTGTATGTGTGCGTTGTGTTAATATCAGACATCCCAAGTCTCCCAGAAGTTCCGTGTGTCTCCCGCAGATTGATAGCGGCTCGCTGATGCCCGCAAATTAGTTCAAATATATGGAAAGCCTTTAGGGCCAAAAACATGCAAATTGTAAGAAATACACGTAAAATACACATGATATACGTGTTGATTATGTCACGCGTATGTCACGCGTATTTCACGTGTATTTTACACGTAAAATACGTGTGAAATACGTGTTAAAATTTGCGTGTTTTAAATTGGCCCTAAAGGCTTTCCATACTGGAGCACATCTCGTCATAAATGAAATGAAACTATGAGAAATAGCCTATAGAGTAGTCTGTTTATTTTAGTTTTGAACTGTTTAGTTTAAATACATTTCAAGCTTTCTAAAGCCTGAAATGTCTTTAAACGAAACAATTCAATAAAAATAGATTTCAAGCATTCTATATTGAAACAATTCAATATTAAAATAAAATTTATAGTCTTTATGTCGTAGTTTTGTTTTGAGTTAATGCTCAATAATAAAGGAATTAAATGAGATGGGCAAAAAAAAATAACCACATTTTCTCCCGTTTGTCATGTTTCTATTCCCCACCAGTGGGGCACACCCCTCACTTTGAGAAACGCTGCATGGTTTAACAGTGTATTTGAAAATATACAGAATTATATGGTGTTAATACAATATATTGCATATTACATAAGACATTTTCAAATGTGAGACAATATATTTGCTAATATATAATGTAGCCTTTGCAATTTTATATTCAGTGATGCACTTCATACAGGGATTCAAGTTATGCGTCGCTATGGGAGTACCTACGACAGATTTCCGTCAATATCAGTGTCACCCTGTCCTTATGTCTTAAATTACCCTTTTCATTATTTTAAAATAAAGGCCGTAAATATGCTTACATTTCTCAAATAGTGTAATAAATGTCTTAATTCTAGTTTGAATAGGCCGGAAGGACGAGGTGTTCACCCTACTTAGGGAGATGTGATCAAAGCCTGGACTGGAGCAAAAGCACGTTCACTCTTAGCGTTCTGTGATCACTCCGCTCCTGATCCACTCCTGGTTTTCCAGTCCGCATTCCTTATGAGCTATTTGGTACACCCCCGCCCCCCCCCGCTGCAGACGCAGACGTCACATTTGGCAGACGCAGACGAGGCGATCGGCAGACGCAGACGTCACGTTCATTGAGAGGAGTGCATGTTGCAATAAAGAGCCAATCGGAACGCCATAAAAGTTATATTAAAGAGCCTATCAGAATGCCATACCACCTTGCGCTCGTGAGAGTTTTTTGACATACGACGGCATGGCTCTCGGACTCATTTCTAACCGGAATGCATCTCGCGCTGATCACCAGTGATCGGTTCTGCGCAGATTTTTCTCATCTCAAACAAGCCTTATGTAAGCTATAAGCTATAAGTAAGCTTATATATTGTAAGCTATATATTATTATATATTATATATATTATATATTGTAAGCTATAAGCCTTTTGTCGTCATCATCTGCATCTTGACATTGATAGGTTTGTAAATGGACATGCGCCTGGCATCAGCGTGTTGTCAATCGATGGGTAACTTTGACAACATGAATGAACAGACGCATATTGTTGCAACTATATTGTTATTTTTATGGCATAATTACCTGCAGCACCAACTATACACAAGGCTAGTTCAATTTCGCCAAATGAACGTCCTCATCGTGCGAACATTTTCGAGTTGACTTATGTCATCAGACCATACTTCAATTAAAAACCTCGTCTCCTCCTCTCCCCATGTGGTAATACCACGGCTCATTTCTCCTGCCATCTTCTGTTTTTTGGCTTTTTGGGAACCACCAGAACTTCCTGTAAAAGGTCTTAAAGTCAGAACCATACAGAAATGCTTTCACACTAGAAATGAAACAAATCTTTGTTCAGTTTGATCCGGACCGAGACTACCTCTTTCCATCGGACCACTTTTCATCTGTCTGGTCCGGACCGTGGTCCAGGGGAGGTTTCACACCTCTAATTTTGATTCGGACCAAACTGAAAAGTATGAAAGTCCGGACCAAACAAGATAGTTGTGAAAGGGCCCTGAAAGGCAGTGACGGTTAGGTTTATGGGTGGGGTCAGGGGTGGGTCATTCCTGTCGTCATCACCGTACAAATTCATTATCCATCTTGGAATTATGGAATTATGGAATTATCCATCTTGTTAAATTCATATGAATTTCTGTGAGATCGACGATCGTGTTGCATATTTCATTGTGTGTATCAGTCCTTTAGTGTAAACACAAATGATGACTTTCTTGCATCTACAGTTAACAGTTTGTTAGGTCTTCTTAAGCAGACATTGTGTCTTTTGTGGATAAATTATTTCATTTGGATTTTAGCCTAACATTGCACCCAGACTCCTGTGGAACCAGTCAATACAGATACCGTCTTCGAAAGGGTAAGACAAGACTTATTACATTATCGGTTAAATTTAGTCTTTTATTGTTTTGTTTATGCTATTGGACGATTACAGAAGCCATTTTGTGCCTTATAAATATATTTTAAATGCACCTTTTGTTTAAAAAACAATTATAAAATAGACTGATTTCAGATCGATTTACTTTTTAGAAAAGTTAATACCTACAATACAAACGTTTATGAAAATTGAGGCATTGGGCTTTTTTTTTCATACTCACCAGATAAAGCTAAAACTCAAATTTAAGAACCAACTTCTGAATTGATAGCTGAATATTAGCTTTAATATCTGTCAAACCTCTATCAGTAATCTCATTGGTTGATTTCTCCTTCCATGTGTTTTGTCCAGCATGGATCCAGTGGGAGTGAACTCAATAGAGACTGCAGCTCTGGGGAGACCCTTCCAGCTGGGGATGCTGTATGACTGCAGGAGAGATGCTCTCGTACCAGGTGATACACCACTGTTCAACACAATTTATGAAGCCTTCAATAAACGATTAGAGTAAAATAATATCTATTATTTGTGAGGTTGTGGTTAAGAACTTACAGTACCAAATCATTTAGCAATATTAATGCAATAAAGTCCTAATTTAAAAGCTTTCTCTGCATGTATTCACTATATTAAGTGCCCATAGCAAATATATTACTATTTTAAAGGATTAGTTCACCTTAAAATGAAAATTTCCTAACAATTTACTCACCCCAATACCATCCAAGATATCCATGTCTTTCTTTCCTCAGTGGAAGTGAAAATAAGGCATTTCTGGATTTTTCTTTGATTAATGGACTTCAATGGCAACCACTATAGCAAACCATTTTAACTTTTATTCATTTCCAGGATATGAATTGTTGATATCAACAATTACATTTTCACTAGTTAAAATGATAATTATGGATATCAGGAATAATATTTCTACTACTGTAGTAACAATGGCAATTTTTTATATCAGTAATTACATTTTCACTAGTAGCATTAGTAGTTCTTGATATTCATTTATATTTGCATTTAACTATAATTATTGATTTCTGGAATTCTATTCTATTTTAGTAAAATGTCACCATTGGCTGCCATTCAAAATCAATTGTTGATATCATCAATTCATATCCTGGAAATGAATTAAAGTTAAAACTGCTTGCCATACAACCACTGTTTTGAAGTCGAAATCAATGCAGTTTCAAAGGGCTTTGTAGTGGTTTAACCGGCTGTGCATGATCGCAGCTGAGGAAGAGCGACCGTGAGAAGGAGGATAGATCAAACTGTATTGGTCGCTTTGTAAACAGTAGGGTGGTACTTCCGTCGGCGCCGGCGACATCAAGCCTGACCTTTCAACGTGATGATGACATAGTTGTGGTGCATTGCAGATCAGCTCAATCCGAACAATTGTAGTTAAAAACTATATGTGTGTATATATATATATATATATATATATATATTTTTTTTTTTTAAATCATTTCGCTAGATAAAACCCTCTTCCTCAGCTGCGATCATGCACAGTCCATAAAAGCACTTTAAAGACCTTTGAAACTGCATTGATTTGGACTTAAATTCCACGTATTTATTATTTATTGATAAAATCCAGTCATTTAAAATGTAAATAAAAAAACAAAAATAATTATTTTACATTAAAAAATATTATAAAAATGAAATGAAATAAGCTTTCTGCACAAAAAAGGTTTTAGGGCTTCGGGTCATTTTGACCTGCGAGGGAAGGATTTGTTACAGAATGCAATGGTTTTGGTTGCTCTGTATCATAATGGTTGGCATTATTAATGGGATAGTCCACTGTTTATATTTAGATATTCACCTGCTCAGAGTCATTTATGTAAATACAGTAAATATAAAATGAAATGTAAGAGAATGGTCGATGGGGACAAGAAACACAAAAATAATGTGGTGTTGTTCGGGAGAACATGCAAGTTGTGTTTTGCAAAAGGGCTGATTAAATTACTGTTTAATGAATTAAGTATATTTAGACATAAATATTTTTTTTCTCCATTACAGGAATCAGACTTTGGAGTGAAGAGCAGCTGAAGCAGAAACCCAAAATCAATACAGTTTTCACAGTCACCGCTTCAGACTCCATTGAGGAAAAGTCTAGATTGCTGAATATTGGCGGATGTCTGAAACTGAGTGTTTTAGGAGGACTCATCAATCTAAGTGGAGCTGCTAATTATCTCAAGGACACCAAGAAATCATTCAGTCAACAGAGACTGACATTACATTATCATTCCACCAGTAAGTTTGAAGAACTGATCATAAACCACTTTGCTTCTGGAGACATGGCTCACTATGAAGATGGCGTCGCCACACATGTAGTGACCGCAGTGCTGTACGGAGCAGACGCATGCTTTGTGTTTGATAGAGAAGTTTCATCAGATGAGGACAAAAGAGTGATAGCAGGAGATGTAGAAGCTGTCTTTGGGAAGCTAATCACCATTTCAAACGGTGCAAACATTAATCTGAATGACAATCTGAAGACTGCAGCCCAAAAATTCAAGTGTACATTTCATGGAGACTTCCAGCTACCACGTAACCCGACCACTTTTGAAGATGCTATGAAGGTTTTTGAAGATCTTCCGAAACTGCTGGGAGAAAACAAAGAGCTTGCGGTTCCTCTGAGAGTTTGGCTTTATCCTTTGGACAAACTTTTCTCAAGAGTTGTAAAGTTTCAGCATGAAATCAGCACAGGTTTAAGCTCAGACTTTGAATCTGTAATTGAGAGTTTGAGTACGACTGAGATGAAATGCAGTGATCTTCTGACAGACACGCCAGCTTCAACATTTACTGCATTTCATGACAAAATCAATGACATGAAGAAAAACTGCTACCAGTGCAGATTGAGTCTCATGAAGAAACTTGGGAATCTCTTACCGAAGATCCGTGGAAAATTCACAGAGGACACAGCCTTGATCGATCTTCTACGAGATCATGAGCAATCTCCATTTGAAGGAAGCGCTCTTGAACAATGGCTGAAGGAGAAAGAGGAAGAATCTGACATTATTAAAGCATTGCTCACACAGCTGAACGACTCTGGAGCAACGGTAGAAAACAACCTCAATAAACATCTAATGAATCTGGAAGTTCAACATTTGTTCAGCTACACTTTCACATCATTGAGCTGGACAGATGAGCTGCTTTCTGAACAGAAGACCTTCCTGAGTTCTTCAACAAAAGAGAGAAAAGAAGAGAAACCCGAACACAAGACTTGGCTCACGACGGACATCCAGAAGACTATGAGGAACAACCTGAGCGTATTTAAACACCTGATTGATTTAAACAACAGCAACTCAGTCAAATTCATTATTGCATCAAAAGAAATGGAAAATATTCCAGGTTCCTGCATTCTCCTGTATGAAAATGGATCTAATGAACCTTTTTGCTTCACTCCTCCATCAAAACCAGACTGTCCAATCATTAAAGATATCAGATATAGACAAGTGGATCTGAAAGTGTCTCCACCGGGTCCTGATACAGAGGAACTCAAATTACTGTACAAAATGAAGGAAGAGAAAGACTGGACATCTCAAACTGTGTCAAAGACCCAGAACACAGTTACTCTGACTGATCTCAGACCAGATACTGAGTACAATATTAAATGTGCAGCGGTGGGAAAACTCAACTACACCGTAGAGAGTGATGTGACGCGTCTCACAGTCATAAACCAGAATCTCATCAAGACCAAAGAGTCTGCTATCAACAATCTAAGGTGGACTGAAGACAAGTGCTATTTACTTTTGGAAAACATCAAGGAAACCACTTTTAGTGCACTTCATAAGAAAATACAAGATATGCAGCAAAACTGCCAAACATATCGGGAAGATTTCAGTGACCGGATTAAATCTGTGATCCAGTCAGGTAAAGCGTGTGAGAAAGAGTCTTGTGCTCTGAAGGATCTTCTTCAAGCTCATGATGAGTCTCCATTCAGTGAAAAGAGTCTGAGAGAGTGGATCACAGTGAAAGATAATGAAATAAACACCGTTAATGAGTTTCTTCGACAGTTAATGGAGTTAGGAGTCGAAGTGAACACAAGCTTGGACTCGTATTTGTCTGATATTCAGGTGGAGAATGTGTTTTGTTACACTTTCAGTTCTCTTGATCAGCCGGATGAGTTTCTTAATGAACAAGAAAATTACATGAATAATGAAATAATGGGAAATCCACAGAAGAAACCTGATGTGGCGTCTCAATCGTGGCTCACTGGAAGCATCCGGGATAAAATGAGGGAACATTTGAACTTATTTAAGGAGCTGATGACGTCATATAGCAGTCGAAGCAGTAAATTTATGGTTTCTGTAAAACACCATGAAAAGCATCCAGGTTCCTGCATTCTCCTGTATAGAAATGGATATAATGAACCTGTTTGCTTCACTCCTCCATCAAAACCAGACTGTCCAGTCATTAAAGATATCAGATATAGACAAGTGGATCTGAAAGTGTCTCCACCGGGTCCTGATACAGAGGAGCTCAAATTACTGTATAAAATGAAGGAAGAGAAAGACTGGACATCTCAAACTGTGTCAAAGACCCAGAATACAGTTACTCTGACTGATCTCAGACCAGATACTGAGTACAATATTAAATGTGCAGCGGTGGGAAAACTCGACTACATCACTGAATCTGATGTCACAACAGTGATCATAAAGGTATGATGAACATTCATGAAATATCAGCTAGAATTTTATTACATCATTAAACACTGTTATTCTAATCTTGAGGCCGTTCACACGACTTGTATCCTCAACACAATCACTGATCTGATATTCACATGAAAAGCATTGCTGATAGCGTCTCATTAAAGGGTAATTTTAGTTTTCTATTGTAACCAGGTAAATAGTTTGTTTAATGCTTACCTTTTCTTAGTTGAGTTGAAAGGGCCTTTATTATTTCAGGGATGTTTTATAAAATGATGATGATGATGCATTACCATCTTTATTGTTATTGTGTTTTTATGTTTTATACTCAGAATAAAAATGATCTCATGAAGAAAAGCATCCTAATCAAAGATGGAAATCCTGCTCGATATCGTCTGCAAACAAAAACACACAATATGGATCAATCTGAACCATACAGAAAAATGACCTTTGGAGAGAGAGACAAAACCAAACCCCATAAAACCATTCTGCTGGTGGGAGAAACAGGAACAGGAAAAACAAAACTGATCAACACGATGATCAACTACATGTTGGGTGTTCAGAGAGAAGACGAGGTTTGGTTTGAGATCACAGATGATCAGAGCAACCGAACATCAGTTCACAGTCAGACCTCCAGTATCACTGTTTATGGGTTTTATCTAAGAGAGAGTAAAACTGATCTAACGATCATCGACACACCAGGATATGGAGACACTCGTGGAGTTGATCTTGATAAACAGATCGCTGAGAGTTTGCTGAGTTTAAGTGAATCTGCAGAAGGGATTCATGAAATACACGCAGTGTGTCTGGTGATTAAAGCAACACAGAATCGACTCTCTGACAGACAGATATACATATTTGATTCTGTTCAGTCTTTATTTGGGAGAGATATTGCTGAAAATATCATCTTGCTCTTCACACACTCAGATGGATATCGACCTAAAGATGCTCTGACGGCTGTTAAAGAGGCTGAAATCAAGTGTGCCGTGAATGACAAGAATCAGCCGGTGTATTTTCTGTTAAATAACCGTCAGTCAGAAGCTGCTGATGAAGAAGATGATGAAGAAGATCATAAACAGAGGCTGGATCAATCATGGGATCTCAGTTTTAGAGGAATGGCAGGATTGTTCAAGTTTCCTGACAACATAAACCCAAAGCCTGTGAAGATGACTCGAGATGTGTTGCGGAAAAGGAAGCAGTTAGAGGCAAATATCTCTAATCTACAGTTACGAGTTCACATGACAGAACTAAAGCAGAATGAGCTGAAACAAACTCAAGAAGCTCTGGAGAAACACAAGAAAGTTGGAGAAGAAAATAAGAACTTTGAGTATGAAGTTGAAGTGCCCTATAAAGAGAAGGTTGATATTGATCTCTCTATAGCCAGCATGGCGATGTGCTGCCGAGTCTGTAAGGAGAACTGTCATTATCCAGGATGCTGGTGGGTCAGTGGCCTCTCATGGTGTCATGTGATGAAAGATGATCACTGTACAGTGTGCACAAATAAATGCCACTACAAAGAACACGTCAAAGGAGGAAAAATGTATGAAACAAAGACAAAGCAAGAGAAGAGGACATATGAAGAATTAAAGAAGAAATATGATGAACAACTCGGTGACGGTGTGTCTCTGGTCCAGAAGTTGGAAGAAGAACTGCACGAACTAGATAAAGAGAAAATAAATCTGGTGAATGAAGCTTTTCACTGTGTGGAAAAATTGGAGGAGATCGCACTCAACACTGATTCTGTGTTCACACTTCAGCACATTGATTCTCTGATTGAGAATCTGAAGGAAATAAATGAGCCTGAAAAAGCTGAAAAACTGGAAGACATGAAGAAGAGAGCAGGAGAAGAAAAACAAGGAGCACTGGGATACATTACAACATTTTATAAAAAATAAACACAAATAATGCCTCATCTCAAATGATGCTGACACGTATGTGTCTCTATAACACGCATTGTGCATAGTAATTTATAATCGAAAATAAGTTTTTATGTGCATATGAGACACAGTTTTTCACATGCATTTGATACGCAGTTCATTTACGTGTAATACACACGCACCCCACACCACTAATTCTACCCAAACATATAATACACATGCCCCACACCACTACTAAACCTACCGTAACCAACTAATGCGTATCATATGCACGTAAAAACTCACTTAAGCATAAAAACGAAAAATAGGATCCCGAAAAAGTTTCTGCTTCGTTCAAAAGCATGTCCTTCATGTGATGTTAATCTATATTATCATTAAACGTAATTGCAATGTTATATGAAAGTATACAGTATGTATGAGTAATAGTAAAGTTTTTCTATCATCACACTTTGCATTTAGTTTTTATTTGTAAGTGGATCTGAGTTAACTGCATCTAAATTTAACTAATATAAAATAGTGATTACTATGAATTCTGTATATTAATTTATACAGTAAGATACTATTGAAAATACAGCCGTAATACTGCAAAAGCAGTTTTCTGTATAATCACTGTCATCTAGAGGCCATTTGAGAAACTGTTGAATATCATCCAACAGGTGAAAAATATGATATACATTTATAATCTCTGCTTTACTATAAATGTGGATGTGCTGTTCATTGTATGACTTTTTTAGACCTTGTGTTTATTGCTTCATGCTTCACTGAGAGATCAGAGATCACTCATATCAATAAATGTTTTTTACCAGCAGTTTGTTTTTGTTTTGTTTTTATGTATAAATGTGTTATAAATTACAGTATAAAGTCTTTGCATTCATAAAGAAGATGTATTATTATTTTACAAATCTATATATGACAGGACTGGATTGTGATAATGTCGCATAAGTGCACAAGAAGACTTGATAATACATCTATAACAATTTGTGTTCCTCATTTCTTCATTGGCAGAACTCTTTGGAAAACCTGTGACCTTTAGAGAAAAGGCTCTCTGGATTTACTATACAGGATACTGATAAAACAAACAAACAAACAAACAAACAAAAAATGATCAATATTTTCTAAAACCCTGTTCTTTTTTTTTTATCAACATGATCTACATTGAGTAAATTGTGGACGCTTGATGTCAGATTCATTCAAATCCAAAGTAAAGTTGAAGATGTAGGTGAACATATAATGAAATACAGTAATACTGTAAGAAAAACTGTAGATTCAGAAGTTATTTAAAATATTTAAAAAATAAGTTATTTTTATTCCTTTTAAACTTCACACTTTCTGTAATTAATGATGATTACAGTAGGACATGTAAAAAAGTTATGGCAGTGTCACATGCCTGTCCTGTCTTGTGGGGCTTTAAGAAAAGTGTTAAAATATTTTCAGGAAAGTGTCTTAACAATTAAGCACAAAATAAATAACCAAAACTAATTAAATTAATTTATTAATAAAGAGACAAATGTGATGCAAGTGAAGACATTTTGATATTCATTCTTTTAGCATATTTGTATTACAAGACAAAATTGAAGCAATAAACCTGTGAGCCCCAAAAATATCATAAGTCCAGATTTATAAGTCCAGTATTTTTATTAAAGCCATAAAACTATTGTCCTTCCTTATTTCATACTCATAATTTTCTTATATGCTATAACACACATTCAAAACCACAAAAATAATTGACCAAACACTTTATTCAAAACTACATTATTGTTATTCTAATTTAACTTTTACTTCAAATTGCTCTCAAAATCATCCGTCTCTGAACACCCATTACACACGGTGAGACTGAAAAATAATAAGATCATAACCTCATACGTGGTTTTCAGAGAAACTGCATATATTTTGAACTTTATAATCAGCACAAATCACAGAAAAAAAGACGTTTAAAAAGAATCCTATTTTAACAACTACTGAATTTACAGTTTCCTTGTATTGTTTAATTATATCCTATATCATTATTTATTATTTTCCACCATAAGTTTGGATTTGAATGAACCTGACATCCAACATCAACATTTGACTGAATGTTTTCTGAGTATTTGTGCAGTATTTCATGTCAGAATAGTGGATCTCCACTAGTGTGAGTGTGTTGGTCAGTTTGAGAATGTGAATCATCCCGTCCCACTTTGTCCGTCTCCTAAAATATCCCACAGCAGCTGAAACAAAGCCTGAGAGACTGGAACAGTTCATGCTGAGGACTGAACTCAACAAAACATGCTAACAACTAAACATGAGGGCACAACAAGACCCAGATCATCCGGTTATCTGATCAGTGTGGGATTCTGATTTTGCATATCTCAAATCAAAACAAAGTTTAATAGTTCTAATAATTCTGATCATAAAATTTGGCTTCATTTAATCTTATGTATGAAGAGATTCAAAACAGACCCGGATGAGAAAAAGTAATAAAGCTGTGTTTAAATGTTGGTTTAAATAAGTAGTGTTTTTATTTCATGTGATATTGTGGAAATAATAACTCTGTCTGTGACTCAAAGTCTGATCATCAGTCTCATCATCAACAGCAGATCTTCCTCATGTTGTGTGTGAAGATCTGCTGTTTGAAACTCCTCAAATGAGTTACTCATCCGTAAAACACACGACACAAACAGAAAGTGGATGTTAATGAAGCCACAAGCTCATGTGAATATGAGTTTATATCAGACAGACGTCTATCAAACACTGGAGAACATGACAGCAGGAAATCCCAAGAGTCTGTCACAATAAACATTATATAAAATAATAATTTTCATCATAACAATTAAACAATAACTGCTAACTGATCACATATCTGTGTTTACCATTTAGCGACAGCTTGTCCAGTCCACAAATAATCATCATTCACTGAAAAAAACAACATAATTGAAAAAAACTAAAACAAACACAAACACAAAACACAAATGTCAACATACTGAACCAAAATAAAGCTGAAATGTTTTACTTTTAATGAAAATAATTTGGTCTCATAAACTGCAGTGATTGTCAATCAGTTTCTTGGCAAACTTTTTTTTTTTTTTGCTTTGTTAATACATACATACATACATGATACACACACACATACACACATACATACATAAATACAGTACATAGACCTTCATACAGAAATACATATATGAACATTAACAGTACATTAATGACATGAATTAATACAATTTTAATTTTACATAAAAAACGTTAATATTTTTGTAAACAATGGCTTACATTGTACTTGATCTTGAAATGGCTCAATGCAATTTATTAATTGTAAAAGTTGATGGGACTGTGACTGTGAGCACTTTTAAATCCCAGACTGAGATCTCCAGCATGGTTTTGTTATTTATACGAAGCCCCGTTGAGCTCTCAGCCAATCAGCGCAGCGCATTCTGCAAGGACGCGCCTCTCACACATTCACGCCTCTGTGCGCGCGCCCTCACAAACTGTCAGACTCAGATTACCGGCTATGAATCACGGGCGTAAGCCGTCTGATCCCTGAAGTTTATCAGACACCGGACAGGTCCGACCCACGGACGACCAACATGAGCGAGAGGTTCAGGGTCGTGCCGGTGGCCGCGCATGAGAGCGCGTTTGGAGACGAAACGGACGGAGACACGGTGTTTGACGCCGCCGGTGTCTGTGAGGGCGAGCGCGCGGAGCGGCGGGGGTCGGTGCCCATCCTTGAGTACAGCAGAGAACCCAACAAATACGGTGAGACGGGTTCCGTTCACACGGGCAGAAAGTGTCGCTCTGAACACTTGTTTTATAATAAACGGAGAGCCGCTATGTTGAATATAATAGGATAATCGCGCGCGTCCAGAACTCAGTCAGTAGTTTGTCACGTCACTCGTGTAACGTTACAGTGTAAACAAACTAGTCGTCGTTTTGGTATTATGAATGAAGTAAACGAACGTTTGCAAAAAGATCGGTCTGAATGAATTTAGTCTTTCGAAGATATATTAAATATTATTTATTGTGACGGTTTGTTTTTCTCTGAGGAGGTTTAATTCTCTCAGGACCGTTAACCTGCTAACGTTTTTTTGTTTGTTCCTGGAACGTTATGAGAACGTTAATATCGAACATTTATTTTTTAATTTATGTTATGGAACTTTAGGAAACGGTTACTAAAACGGCAACCGAACACTAACGTTATACGTCCTGTGTTGTTTTGCTAGTTTCCATTCTTTAGTTTGGCTAAGTATTCACTTATACATTAATAAGTGTTTATTGAAATGTTTTCTGACAGGAGAAAAATGACTGTGAGTGTTTAGACTTCACATGATTGAGGCGTTACCTTCAAACATGCCTTTATTTAGTTATAATTTCCATTCTAGCAATAATTCAACAATTAGCATGAGTTGTACGTTTATTTTTATTAGTTAGGGCTGGTTAAACTAAAATGTTAAAACGTGGTCTTAAAATGCAGTTATAGTAATGAGGCATAATGAGTATGCTCTCCATCAAAACAAATAAAATAAGAAAAATGTAACCAAAGTAAGTTACAGTAAAACTATAACAACTTGTGACAAATGTCCTCAAAAGACCAGAATTAATATATGATTACTTTAACAACAACGTTATTTACTATAAGGTTATTTTAGTGGTTTTGTTTGTAAGTTCCTGTGAAATGACTAGTTTGGCATGTTTGACACTGTCTGTATTTTGCAGGTGTCATGTTTATATGTCTCATGTTGCTGTTTTATTGCAAAATTAGCACAATAAGAGGGTTTGCTGGTTGAATTATGCAGTCTAATAATGATTTATATTCCTTATATTCCCAAAAAACTTTTTTTCTCATTAATTTGTTACGCTTTTTCTTTTGTATTGGCCTAACCAGGTGAATGTTTTATGCAACACGATGCCCTTTTTTGGTTTTACACGAGTGCCTGATTTCAGGGGCTTGTCTAGACGTGTCTTGGGACACTTTTCATGCTCAGCTGTCTTCATTAATTACCATGACACATCTGTTTGTTTCCCGGGTTGGAGATCTAGCAGCCTATCTGAATCTGCTACTGTTTTCCAGGCCTTTTATAGTCTCTCTTTGCGCTTTGAATCAGTAAATCTCTATCACATTTATTTAGTGAAGTCTATGACCATGTGGACACGAGGAAGATATATAACCAACCACATTCATTTAATGTATTTCAGGGTTTCTTTATCTAATTTCGGTCTTTATCTTTAACGGATATGAAAGCTTACAATTGGCCCTTCATTACATTTAGCCTGCAATTTAATCAAAGACCTCTTAAAGCCAAAGTGCCTTTGATTATCTACTGTAGCACCAGTCTCATAGTCTATAAAGAAGTCTATAGTGTAATTGTGAGAGCTGATCTCCTGCTGAAGTCCTTAAGAAGGTCCGGGTGATTTGGAGACGGCACTTATTGGAGGTGCGGTTATTGAATATGTGGCTCAACGTTTTGTTTTTAAAAGTTGGTGTTAATCATATAAAGAGCAAAGGGAAAGTTTTGTGATGAGCTTCTATCAAGTGCATTGAGATGATCCTGAGAGCATGATGATACCTACAGATACCACATTAGTTTCATTTGTTCATTTTAAAGCGTCTCGGCTTTGAGAAGTGCAAATGGGAGTCGTCTTCCAGATGGTTGAGCTGGGGAGCGTTGGATTGGGTTACACACTCATTATGGGAGTCAAGAACATCTCTATTCATATACAGTATGTGGTGATGCTCTTATAACCTTCACTCCCAGACTCAGAACAATGCTGAGCAAAGTTGCTCCCAAACATCAAGCAATTTTGTGGTCTTACAGACATAGAATATTGCTAAATAAGGGAATTTTTCCAAACCCAACCCAACGTAAAAGGCCTTGTTCCCAGACAGAGCAGTCCAGTGCGAAGACATGATGCTGGGTTTTCATTTTAGAAGCGTATTGCAGTTTATTGACCAATTAAAAACCAAAATGCAACCAAATAAAAATCCCATATGTCTGGGAAATTAAAGAAATATTCAGGTTAAATACAAATTGGAATATTGTTAATTACAACAAACAATTTTAGACTCTCACAGTTTGAGAAATCAAACAATTGTTACTCTTTGCACTTATGCAAAATTCTTGCTGAAGTCCAAACAAAGGTACAAATTGAACATTATCAAAATAAAGGCTAGTTTTCTTGTTAATCTTGTAGAAGCTGAAAACAAATATTGTTTTAATATTTAATTATTTTAATTGTTCGGTTCGGTAGTATATTATTCATTAAAACAAGTTTGGAAGGTTGACATTTGAAAGCAACACAAACTATGGCATATTTGCTGTCAAATTGATTTTTTTTATTATTATTACTTGCATGTTTGGTTAAATGTACTCTTATGTATATTTGGTTTAAAAGAAATATGACTTCTGGTCAAAACAAAAAAAGCAACAACAAAAAACAAACCAATTGAAAGTATTTAACCTGGAATAGTTGCTGATTAAGTGTTTTCATATGCCACATGATACTGTAGACTCATTATTAGTAAAGATCACATGATATTTTAGCAGAGACGCAGTGCTGAGTCAACAGATCTACTGCAGAGTTCTTGAAAGTGTATTTTTCAAATCACGGATTTCATGTGTGATCTGAGACGAGTGTTTAACTTGATCTGCTTCATGTCATGATCATGTAAGATCTGAACTCAGTAGAGCTGGAGGTCTTGGAGGCAAACATGCTCACTTTCGGCTGTTTAATGGAGGTTAAAGCATCATGTCTGGTGTGTGTTTCTGATCTCCGAGACTAAAGGTCGTGTGTTAGACACTCGGTGGTCTTCTGTCAGGATCAGGGCGGATGTAAAAGAGAAGTGGGAATTTTTATTTCTCCGTCAGGATACTGTGAACAGCTGACTCAAGCTACAGGCCTATTTGTGTTGGCTGTTTGTCTGCACATCCATAACAACAGTGGTGTGTGTTTCTATATTTCCAGTTATTAAAACACGTTTTCTTCTCCTCTTCTTGCATAAACATGATGAATTTCACCCAGTTTGTTTGTGTGCGTCTGGGCTGCAGTAATTAGCTTTAGAGTTCAGGAGTCAATTGTAAATTTATCGCTCTAATTGGCATCATAAGATGAGAGTCATGTGACTGTGCTCTTGTTCAGATGGTTGGTTTGTTTATGCAAGTAGAGTTCACCTACAAAGCATATGAAAGCATCATGGGATACGTCTGATCAAAAAAACATTTTTTTTTAAGTATGATTGTATACTTTTTAAGGGTTAGTTCAAGGCCGTTCATCTTCGGGACACAGTTTAAGATATTTTAGATTTAGTCCGAGAGCTTTGTGACTTTTCTCAGCCGATCTGTGTTGATTATCCTGTAAGAAACTCTTCTTCATGTGTGTTATCCCCTGCGTGGCGTTTCATTCCCATCAGCCCCATGCTAAAGGACAGTGTGCTCTTGGCTCACGACTCTTGTTGTTCATGTCATCGCGCTTCGGCTCTGAAACATTGCTCAGGCGTTGAAAGTAGCAGGTGGTCTCCTAATGCTAAATAAACTCTGGCAGTCAGAATCAGTTTAGTGTTATATCTGTGTCTGGGAGATGTGCATGAAGAACCAATGGCAGGTCAACGTTTAAAGGAATAATTCACTCAAATAGTTGTCATCACCTTCCAAAACTGAATGACTTACTCAATTTCATTTCATTAGGACCCAAAAGGGGATGTTAGGTGGAAAGTTTTTCACTAAGAATCCAATCGTGATGCACAAAGTTTGAATATATAATACTGAGGTTTGTGGGAAGAGTATTTATTTTTTATTATTTATATATTTTTTTCTGACACAAAACAATCAGAAGATTTCAGAAAACTTGAAATATAACGCATAATGTGTCTATGGACTACATTTAACCAAGCTAACCGCCCAGCAAACAAATTTAGGTTCTGGGAACGTTAGTTTTTGGTTCCCAGAACGTTCCTAGTACTTTCCCTTAAGGTTAAAGGAACGTTCCCGGAACATTTTCCTTACGTTATTATAAAAATGGAACCTAAAAATAACCTACATGGAATGTTCCTATAACGTTCTTGTTTGGTTCCCAAAAAAATAACCTCATGGGACCATTCGGGAACGTTTGGGGAACGTTCTGTGTTTGCTGGGCGGGAGCTTTGGCTAACTTTCCAGCAAAGTTATGAACAAACATTCCTCCAGTAATGTTAATAGTTTATTCAAAGTTATCTGGTCTATAATACATCACTGTTAGCACAAAAAACTTAATCAATACATCGTTCGTATAACTGATTTTTATGACATCACTGCACACCTTCTCATCTCATCTTCTGTCCAATCAAGTGCTCTCTAGAATCTATAGCTCCGCCCTTAATGCTATAAATACTATAAAAATGGGTTGGAGATGTGTGTCCGGTTGCTCAAACGCTTGAGTTTTATTACGTTTTCCACGTTGGTTAAGAATGAAATGGCAAGAATTTTTTTACGCGCTACTATTGAATCCAATGTATCATCAGCACTTGGATTCGCTTCTATGGTGCTGTCAAGTACGACTCGCAGTCTGTGAGGTAAACTAAATGCTATTGGCTATTTGAAAAAGGGGAGGAGCCAATCAATATGTCCCTGTTTCAGTGGAAATTACTTCAACGCATCATACAAAGCGGCATCAAAACTTCAGTGGGCCTTTAATGAACAGTTTTATTTGCTGGAAATTGTAGTTTTGGATCTTGATATAGTCTGTTATTGAATTAGTGTAGCGTGAACATTTTGCAAAACTTCTTT